CCCTGAGCCAGTGAGATTTGAACAGCCGAACTGCAGAACTGCAGTCAGCTGAAGTAGCCTGCAGTGCTGCATTTAACCACTGCGCCACCTCGGCTCATTTTAGGGGAGAAAACAATTTTAGGGGAGAAAAGCCCCTGTTCAGATATGTAGACTGTCCCAAATCCATCTAGTTTATAAATTGCTGAACTGTCAGACTGAATAGCAAATAAGCAAACATGTGGTTGAATTGGTGGTTTCCTGCATAATTAACAGGTTAACAATGTTCTGAAAGCTGTGTTTGTATGCTTTACAGGTCAGTGGCTGTACTCACCGAATGCATGAGAAACAAGTCCCTAGCCAAGTTTTTCAGAGAAAGACAAGAAGCTTTACAACATTCTCTTCCTTTGGGATCCTATCTTTTAAAGCCTGTTCAAAGAATACTGAAATATCATTTACTTTTGCATGTAAGTAAAACGCTTTGTCAATGAACTTTTGTCTACACTCTATTCAACCTACAAAGGCTAAGTTATACATTTATACTTTTAAAGAACTGTCTTTGAATTGGCCACTTTTATTTCACACAGAAAAAACAAACAAACTGTGATCTATAACGTGCTGAATTTGTACTGCTCACTTCCACTTTTACCCCCTGTTGCCTGAGTTTTCTGAAAGTCCCAGTGTGGTCTGCGTCATTTACCCACAATGTTTGTAACCCCATCTCATGCTGAGTGACTGGTGTGTTTACAGTGTCCTAAGCCTTGTACAAAGAGTTCCACATAACATCTGACAGCTCCTGAAATAAAAGAGTAAACCAATATTTTGAGTACATTACCAGTATTTTAGTTGCTTACATAGTATTCCATTCTGTTCCTTTGCAGTAGCTTGGGAGATTCTCATTGAAAAAATTATTGTAAATAGTAACATATAGTCTAAAAGTGTATTTCTCTGCCTTAAAGCATGTGACTACGCATTCAAAGAACAATGTTTTTGGCATATATGTTGATTACCCCTTCAGTTTACCATTTAAACATTTTTCAAAAATCTGGGGTTATTTTTAATTCTTTTATCATATGCTTCCTATTAAGAAATTAAGTATAACTCAAAGCCCAGAAGTGTACATTTGAAGAGGGTGTATACATTTCCAATATCGGCCATGCCTAATTCTCAATGTAATTATCCCACTAAAGTTTCATAGCCAGGATTTAAATGCAAGAAAACTGCATCCAAATATTAAATGAGTGATTCATTTCGAATGTCCATAAATACGATCCAGGAAGCTATAGCAATAGCAGTAGACTTATATACCGCTTCATAGGCCTTTCAGGCCTCTCTAAGTGGTTTACAGAGAGTAAGCATATTGCCCCCAACAATCTGGGTCCTCATTTTACCCACCTCGGAAGGATGGAAGGCTGAGTCAACCCTGAGCCGGTGNGGATTGTTGTTGGGGGCAATATGCTGACTCTGTAAACCGCTTAGAGAGGGCTGAAAGCCCTATGAAGCGGTATATGTCTAACTGCTGTTGCTATTGCTAAAATGGATGCTCCTTTTCACAATGATGTCTGAACATACAAATATGCTAAGCCATTATTATTTGTACAAGAAGTTAAGCAAGATTGATATACTTATTACATTTAGTAATAATGAAATATTTGTGGGGTTATTTCCTAAGTTTTGACCCAATTGTTCATAAGCTGTTGCTTGGCATTCACCTGCATTTTATGCTCTTTAGTTAATAGTTAATTGTTTTAATTTGTTTTTAATGGATTTTGTTATTATGTTTGTTTATATATGTTTTAATTTTTTGCTATGTTCACTCTGTAAGCCACCCAGAGTCATGTATATGAAGTGGTTGGTTATATACATTGAATGAGTGGATAAGTAAGTAAACAAATAACTAAATGATGAATGATGAGAATGCATTGAGGCAGATAGGAGGAATCTTTAAAGTAGCATTTCTGTTAGATATTGTTTGGTTCAACTATGGTGGCTTCTTAGGTTAATATCTTATAATTGTATGGGAGTTTCCATCTTTAAAATGTCTTCCTAATTTCCTTGTCCTTCAACAAGTATGAATTAAGCTTCTGTACGGAAGATGATAGACAGCGTTTGTGTGAGGCAAATAAAAAGGAGGGAAAAAGTAAGATTCTTGTATTGATTTGCTTCTACAGACTTTTTTTTTAAAGGTTTCTGCCCTATTTTCCCCAAAAGAGAGAAGCATTGGAATGGGGTGGTGATTTTCCCCTGATGTGATTCAGAAACGATATGGTGGAATCTAATAGTTCTTTTCATTAAAAAAAATCTAATAACATTTTTTTTTTTAAATCCATTCTAAACAGAAAATAGCAATAGCAATAGCAGTAGACTTATATACCGCTTCATAGGGCTTTCAGCCCTCTCTAAGCGGTTTACAGAGAGTCAGCATATTGCCCCCAACAATCTGGGTCCTCATTTTACCCACCTCGGAAGGATGGAAGGCTGAGTCAACCCTGAGCCGGTGAGATTTGAACCGCTGAACTGCTGATCTAGCAGTAGCCTGCAGTGCTGCATTTAACCACTGCGCCACCTTGGCTGCCAGTATAATGCCACTGAGTGATGACTGTAGCCTCAAGGCCATATGCATGTCCTCATAATACTGTCTCCAGACTGCTACTTTTAACTCAGAAAGATTGAAATAAAGTAATAAGAACTAAGGCTGTAAAACTGCTTTTAATTAATTAAATTAAAAACAAATGATATTTTGTTTAGGTTCCACCCATTTTCTGCAGCATAGCTCAACCATTCAAGTGCTAATTGGTGCCCTTGACCTGGAAATATGTGCATAGCTACTCTAAGGCATGTCTGTACATTATTAAAGGATTTACAAATTAAAACACAATCTATTATCTGTGAAGAGCAGTTAACTGAAGGCAAAATAAATCATCTCCTTGATGCTTCCCACCAAGGATTGCATAACAAGGATATTTCTCACATAAAATGGTCTATTGATCTGTGTTCAGCTTTACCTAAAGTCACATACTTTACATAAGCTGGCATGCTTGTTGTGTCTTGCTAACTGATCACTGATATCAAAGGAAACATTAATGATGTTTAAGCATTTTTTGAGCCTACCCAACAGATAATTATAACATTTTCCCAGCCAACTAAGCAACTGTAATTAAGTATTTGCAGTAGTTTCATGGCTGTCAGTTCCCTCAGCAGATCCCGGTGTTCATGTTAAACAGGGTCAATGATAAAAGATTAAATTTACATGTGACAAAATAGCAATCACTTGTTACTTGATTCCCTGTGTATTCAAGATTCTGTTTTGACTTTGGTGGAAAATAGGCATTAGGACCAGAAAGTTAGAAGAAATGATTAATTCTCAAGTCCCAACATATTCTGGCTTTTACTGTTTGAACACACTGAACATAGACACGCCCAATATGAAATTTAATTTCACATTTCCTATATAGTCTAGCTTGGCCAAAACCGCTTTGATACAATTGTTATGATTTCAAGGGGGTATAAAACAACCATTTCTATCTTACATATGCTAAAATATTATCAGTTTCTTCCTGACCTATTAAGAACATCTTCATTTCAGCAACTCCACTTTTCTATTTATATCTCCAGTATAAAACCATACAGTCCCAACTTAAAGAATATCAAACCAGGAGAAGCATGGAGAGGAAGAGAGGCTTGAGAAGATTATACACTTCAACTGATTTCTAGTCAGGAAGTGGAGATAAAAAATCTTTTTTGTATAGTCTGCACTGTTACAGTTGAATTCTTCGGGATACTATGAGGATATTTTTTGAGATATCTGATTTTGTAAATCCACAAAAATGGGCTGCAGCCAGAGTATTAATTGTACTTCTTAGACAGATCTTGTTTTCAGATGTTTCAGTGTTATAAACAACACACTCTTCAATTAATTCTTAACAGGAGATAGAAAACCATCTCGACAAGGACACTGAAGGTTATGATGTTGTGTTAGATGCCATTGATACAATGCAGAGGGTGGCATGGCATATCAATGATATGAAGAGGAAGCATGAACATGCCATTAGATTACAGGTGAGTCGAAATGCATCCTTCATCAACTGTGTTCTGTCTTTTGTTTGGATTTTGTTCATATGCTTTGGACAAATGTTTGACCCATTGAAAAGATTATTGTTTTTAGTATTTTGAACATCAAAATGCCCACTTGCTGAACCATTTCCAAAGCAATATTTAACATGTATTTGATTTATTCATACAAGCTTCTTCAAAGGCAGAATGAGAGTTGTATAGAAATGTTTGCTTCAACAATAGACTAGAAAATATATCCTTAAACAGAGCCCAAAGTTTAATTATTCCTATTTTGTACTTTGGGGATCTTGATAATAACAGGTGGTCCTCAGTTAATGACAATAATTGGGACCAGAATTTTTGTCACTAAGCAATAATACAGTCATTAAGGACAATATGTGATTGTGCCACTTAGAGGTGGCAGTTCCAGCAAGGATTATGCAGGTTGTTAAAAGAGGACTTCACATAAGTGCAACTTTTGATTTCTTGCCAGCTTCCCCATAGATCATGTGACTGTGGGAAAGCTGTGCCAGCCACAATTTTGCAAACTGGTCTTAACTACCACTGAACTATTGTTAAAAAAGGATTAAATCAGAACAAACTATAATGGTTTAGATTAGAAAATAATTATCTTAAGATATTCTAGCACACTCTGTTTTTAATGTGCTACATCCTGCCCTCTCTTTCAGGAAATACAAAGCTTACTTACGAACTGGAAAGGCCCAGACCTTGCGAGTTACGGAGAGCTGGTGCTAGAAGGAACTTTCCGCATCCAGAGGGCCAAAAATGAACGCACGTTGTTTCTCTTTGATAAACTGCTGCTTATTACAAAGAAGAGAGATGAGACATTTACTTATAAAGCTCATATCTTGGTATGGCAAGTTGCAATTTTGGGGGAAGATTAAGGGAGTAATGAGTGTGTATCCTACAAGGGAGCGGAAGTGGGATATTTCACTAATCCTTATTGTTTCTTTAATAGAACTTCTGGGTTTTCTTTTTTTCCTCTCTTCTGTTAGTTTTCAGCAGAGATGGAAAAATAAAAGTTCCCTATAGTGTAAACATAGAAAAAATTTAAATGCAACAATAAATAAAAACAATTGTCCTTATTTTTTTTAAAAAAATCATTCTGGCATATGTATAAGGATAGAGTCTGATGAAGAATGGGATATATTGTTTAGTCAGCCTTCAGCTTTTAAAAATCATTTGCTGCTTCCTTTCCTGCTTTCCTGTTTCTGACTTCATCCTTTTAATTCTTTGCTTTTCCTTTATTGCTTTTTTTTCCTGAACCTTTCTCAGGATAACTCTGAACAAGTAGCTGTTATCAAAACCCTCCACAGTTGCTCTGTTTATCAGTTTTCTTTGCTTTTAATGGTTTGTTTCTTACCTTTGCCTGGCCTCTTTTTTTCCCCATTCGGCCAACTTGGTACATTTCTAAACATTCCACAATATAATTAACTTTTTTTTAAAAGAGTCTATCTGATTTTTCCTTCTTCATCTCTTGGAACTGATGGTTTTTGTTTTTGTTATAGTGCGGCAATCTTATGCTGGTAGAAGTCATACCGAAAGAACCTCTTAGCTTCAGCGTCTTCCATTATAAAAATCCCAAGATGCAGCATACCGTTCAGGTATTTTAAAATCACCGTAGACTGAATATATTAATAGATAATTAAATATTCATTAAATATAATATTAAATCTGAATTTCTCATAATTACATATCCCATGAAGCAGCACTATAATTAAATTCATAGATTTAATTCTTATCTTTATAGCTGCATGTAGTTCCTATTCCTTATTATCTAAAGTTTTTTCTCTTTTCCCTTCTTTTGGAGAGGAATATGTGATTCTACTTTAAAGTATAAAACTTAGGTTTTATAATAAAAGGCAAGGTAAAAATAAAGTTTCCCTGCAATAATATGGAAAGATGGTTTGTCATTGCCTTCTTTCTGCATGTATTTTAAATTTCCCTGTCTAGTTTGCAATTCTGAGATTGTTTGGCAATCTCTCATCCAATGTACTAATTAGAGCCCATCCTGTACAACTTTCTTACCTCAGCACTGATTAGTTTCAGGCTACCACTTAGTTGAATCCATTTTTATCAAAGATAGAAAAATATGGATTTATTTTCAAGCGAGCGTTGTGCCTAAAATTGTCTGTGATAGGTGGTGATCTCTGTGTAACTGTGTGGCATGTACACTGTGCTTTAGTTTTGACAAACAAGAAAATTGTAATCGTTTTTTGGAAAAAGAGCCAGCTTTTCAATTTGAAGTCAGATCTTCTCCACATTCCGATAACCTTTACTGATTTTTTTTCCTTCTGGTATTTCAAGAGCTCTAATTTTTTTCTAACTGTCTTGCCCTTTTGAAATAGGCAAAATCACAACAAGATAAGCGCCTTTGGATTCTTCATTTGAAAAGATTAATTCTAGAAAACCATCCTGCTAAAATTCCAGCTAAGGTAAAACCTTTTTATCATTTTTTTAAAAAAAGAAAGCATTTTACTTTTCTCTTGAAGGAACATCTGTGCAGCCGTGTCATTACATATAGTACTTTCATAGCATCAGTTTAATATTCCTTTGGATCAGGCCACTTCAAACAGTTTTGCCTTTGAAAATATTATTCCATTACTTTATTATGATAATCGATCTTCTGCCTAATTTTTGATGAGCAAAATATTAAATTATTAAAATATTTACAGAGACCAGGACAGGGAGAGCATGATTTCTGGAACTCTTTTCAACCTCTTTACCACTTGTTATCATAGCAGGCATCTGAAATACTGAAGGAGGGATAGTGGATCTGCATTATATTGATGTGTATTTGAATGCACTGGGAAGAACAGGGTGGGCTACCTGTATTTTGCTCTATGTCATATGACTGGGCAGGAGGATAACTTAGAAAGAAGCACTTGGCTACTTTTTTGAACAGTTGCCTAAGTCTATCTCAGTAGTAGGTTCCGGATCCCATTGCAACTGATATGCTGCAATGGGGCCGAGCGTCCACCACGTGCACATGAAACAGCACGCGCATGCATACCCACTGTCCGCGACGCTCCATCTGTTTGGCGGAGTGTTGCGCAGGTGCCTTACTCTCCGTGCACTTGTAAAAATGCCCCGGTTGGCTCAAATAGAGGTAAGGAGAATGAGTGGGCGAGTGGGCCCTCCGGAACACCGTACAGGAACGGTACCTGGTGCTCCCAGCAGGCACCGGTATGCCCATACCGGGGCGTACCGGTTGTATCCCACCACTGGTCTATCTCCCCCTCCACACAATGCATTGGGGAACATGTTCTGCATTTTTGTTGTTGTTGTTGACAGTCTAATCAAGGCCATTTTCAAACTCGCTGGCTTCACCTGCCAGCCCAGATTTGATCCCATTCTCTCATCATTTTGTACTAACATATATGGTCTCTTCACTGTTTCAATTGGGAGTGTTTCCCTATCATATTCAGAGATGTCTATATTTCTCTACTGTTCTGCATGCCAGTAGTGATCTTCCAAGGACCATCCTTTCATTATCAATCTATTCTTGCAATTCTGGAAGAAATGCAGATTGTTTTTTACTCATTAAATATACTGCAAAATGAATGCAGTTTGAATAGTAAGGTAAAGGTAAAGGTTCCCCTTGCACATATGTGCTAGTCATTCCCGACTTTAGGGGGTGGTGCTCATCTCTGTTTCAAAGCTGAAAAGCAGGTGCTGTCCAAAGACACCTCCGTGGTCATGTGGCCGGCATGACTAAACGCCGAAGGTTCACAGAATGCTGTTATCTTCCCACCAAAGGTGTTTCCTATTTTTTCTACTTGCAT